GTGCATGCCTGTAATCCCAGCTACTCAGGAAGGCTGAAGCAGGAGAATGGCGTGAACCAGGGAGGCAGAAGTTGCAGTGAGCCGAGATTGTGCCATCGTACTACAGCCTAGACAAGAGCAAGAGTCCATCTCAGAAAAAAAAAAGAGAAGAAATACATCTCCTTCAGTGTTAATCTCCTTCAAAAATGAGTATCAAAAATGTAAACATTAGGAACATTACCAAAAACTCTACTCCTTTTATTACATTTATATATCCAACTCATAGCTGCTTTTATGTAGCCTTTATTATATTTATATATCCAACTCATAGCTGCTTTTATGTAGCCACAACAAACTATAGTAGTGAGCCTTAGTCCACATGCTTACTAACCAATATTACACTAAAACTATACATACAGGACAGGGAGAAACAAATGAACATAAGTCAATTTAGAAAACAGTGATTTGTCCCTTCCTGTCATATCCCTAAAACATTAACAAACTTCCAGTCTCTCCACTCACCACAACTTACATCTCTCCCCATAACTTGCCTCTCTCACCATCCTCCCTTTTTCTACTACAAGATTCTACCCAGGGTAACCAACGCAGGTGCAGGTTTCTTGCTGAGTGACTTTAAAGATGAAAGTCTCAATGGGAAAAACTATGGTGTCTATGACTCACTCAATGATAATCACAAAGCACTTGAACATCTATTATCACTTCTGTCCCTTATAACAGTCCTGTTAAGGAAACAGGATATCACTATTTTCATTTAGAAACAAAAAACTGAGGCTTCAAATGTTAAATTACTCACTGGATTCACAGAACTAACCAACTGACAGTTAATTCACAAAATTAACTGGCAATGGTAGAATCTCTTACCCCACATATCTCTCTCTTATCACTCCATGGCAAAAATTCTCAATAGTTATCTCCATCCTTGTTCTCCATAATCATCCCATTCCATACCAGTCTATAATCAACTATGTCACAGAAAGTGTCCCTATCCCAATTAACGGTCTCCAGGTGCCAAATCCAATGTCCAGTCATCTGTGCTCTTAGCTGTCTTCTCAGCAGCATTTGACCAGGTGATGACTTTCTTTGAAATGTTTCTCTCTTGGCTTCCTAGACACTCTTCCTGGTTGTGCCTCTGCCTCATTGGCTGCTCCTTCTTTCTCCTTTGCTGGCTCCTCCTCCTCCCAGCCTTGACATATTAAACTGGCCCAAGGTTCAGTTTTCAGACCACTGTCTATTCTCACTCTTTAGTGATCTCACCTAGTGACATTGGTTGATATTCCTTTTGATGCCAATGATTTCCCAATGGGTATCTCTCTCCCAACCTGCCCATAAAACAGGAGCTTCCACCCACGTGCATGGAGGCCTCAGATAACCAACTCCAGAGTTAATGTTTCTGCCTGCCACAGGAAGCTTACCAGAAATCCCCTTATCCAGTATGATAAAAGTTTGGTTAAAATTTTTAACAGCTGAAAGTTCTCAGTCTGAAGCAGAGACTCATTCAAAAGAAGAAAAAGATGTATATCTTACACATATTATTTTTGTTTAAAACACAAAGGGTCATTCTATTTGTCAATCTCTTCATAGAGGACTAAAGCCTTTTCTTTTAATGTGGGTCCACAAATAAATACTCCAATCATCTTTCTTGCATAAACTATAACACACTGAATTGTCCTATGATTTCAAGTGTCATTTTATTTTAAATAGAACAAGAACATAAAGACATCAACAAAGCATTCTAAATACAGAATGCTTCTATATTTTTATTATTGTTCTCAACCTTTTATAACAGGCATGCCCATATTTAATTCTACAGCAATTTTTCATAAAACAACTCTGCTTTTCCAAGTTAGTTTTCAGACAATTCTCTTAGTTGTCCAACAAACTCTCTTTTTAAACTCATTACTCATCAGTTTACATGAGACAATGAATTATGTAATAACAATGATTAAAACAGCGAGCAGAACGAGGATCTTGGTGGCATATAATTCAAATGAAAGGAACAGAGGCGGACGGTACACCAAAATGTATTCTATTAGCTTTGGATATTTAAGGTGCTATTGGCATCAAATAATAGGTTTTATGGTGAAAACGGAAAGCACTGGTCAGTCTGAGCCCATTAAGTTGGATATGGGTTAAGAAAGTTACTGATTTCCACTGCCTACTTCTACCACCAGAAAGCCGTATTTCCTCAGCTCTACTCTATTAGTAAATGGCAAATATCCAACTGCTAAGCTAAAATCCTTAAATCCTCTGCTCAGCTAAAATGCTTAATTCCTCTCTCTTTCTTACCAATAACTAAGGCATCAATATTGTCTTTCTAGAAACCTTCAAAATATTTTCTGGATATATTCACTTATCGTTATCTCCATCCCTATCACCTACAGTCCAAAGTGCCATAATCTCCAAACTGTAATGACTTTGTAACTAGTCTCCCAACTTCTATTCTTACCTGTCCCCTGGACTGATTCTTCACATAGTAGCCCAGGAAGAACTTTGCAAAATGTGAATGAGACCGCACTGTTTCCCTGCTTTAAACTCTTCAATGGCTAGCCATTATTCTTGAATAAAATTCAAACTCCTTGCCATGATCTACCAGGTCCTAAAGGAGCTAGCCCATACCTACTTCCCCAGCTTCATCCCATACCATTCTCCCCTTGCTCACTGCTTTGGGTACACTGACTCTCCTCTCCATTCCTCTAATATGCTAAAACTCCCACAGAGCCTCTGCACATGCAGCTCATTCTGCCTAGAACACTCTTCCACTGACTCTTCATAAAAGCTACTCATTTTTCAGCTGTCACCTCAAATGTTATCTCCTCCTGAAGGGTCTCCATTGATCATTCTATTTAATAAAGTCTTCATTCAGACTGTCACATCCAAGTTACTCTAAATCACAACATTTTGTTCTTTTTTTCCTTCATAACAGTTACCAGAGTAACTATCTTATTATATGCTAATATGTCTCCTTCTGCTAAAAGGTAAGGTCTCATTAGAGTGTGAGCTTCCTCCATCTTGCTCACCATTACTTTCTTACTATCCAGTTCAGTACCATTTCCTGAATGGAAAAATGAACTACTTGAATAATTTCAGCTGAAAATATTCTCTATGAGATGCAGTGAAATTTCTATACATAAAAATCCTAACCTGATCTCCACAAAAAGAACGGTATGAGAATTTCACAGCAGCTTTATTCGTAATAGTAAAAAACTGGAAAAAAAAAATCAAATGTCCATCAACAGGAAAACGAATAAACAAATTAATGTGTATTTATATTAGGAAATATTACTCAGTAATAAAAAAGAATAAATCAGTAATACAAAGTCTAATAAAAGTTTTTTGTGAAAGAAGCCAAACAGAAAAGAGTACATTCTGTATGATTCCATTTATATAACGTTCAGAGCAAGAAAAAGCATTTATTGTAATAAAAATCAGAACAGTGGCTGCCTATAAGTTGGAGACTAACTGGAAAGAAGCACAAAAGAACTGGAAATATTCTATAACTTGATAGGTGTATGGTTTACATGGGCATATATGTTTATAAAACCAATTAAATCATTTACACTATGCAAATTTTATTACAATTTTTTTTTTTCCAGACAGGGTCTTACTCCATCACCCAGGCTAGAGCACGGTAACACGATCATGGCTCACTGCAGCCTTGACTCCCCAGACTCAGGTGATTCTCCCACCTCAGCCTCCCGAGTAGCTGGGAGTACAGGTATGCACCACCATATCCAGCTAAATTTTTGTACAGATGGGGTTTTCCTTGTTGCCCGTGATGGTCTCAACTCCTGGGCTCTAGTAATCCACCCACCTCAGCCTCCTAAAGTACTGGGATTGCAGGCATGAGCCACTGCACCCAGCCTATCATGAATTTTTAAAAAGGCAAAAAAGTCCTAAATTCATTCACTCGCACATCCCATCCGATGCAGAAACCCAAGAAATAGACTATTCACCATCATATCAAGATCTACTTATTAATTTGTTCATCTGCCTTCTAAATTCTTACTCTTCGCAGGCAGAAAATTAAAAAGGTTTGCACCATACTGAGTGTCTTGTGGCAACACAGCAAGAAAGTATCTATCACTACAAAAGATGATGAATTATGCATTTATACATAAGTAAACCATATAAAAGCATGACACAAAGGACAAAACAGTATGTAAGCCATTACAGAAGAACTAAACAATAAGGAATATTGATGAATGCTAAGGTACATCAAATGACTATGTGACCTGGGACACCCATCATGAGTTGTGTGTTAAGGAACCCCTAAGCCACAGGCAAGAATGCTGTAGTTTTCAACTTCTTTCTATCCCTAAAAACATCTGAATACAATACGTATATTTTCTTATACTTATACTCTACTCCCTAAACAGTCATGTTAAGAATCACTATATAGAGCTGTAAGAACCAAAACAGTAGCCACGAGCCAAATGCAGCTATTCAGAAATTAAAATGAGGCAAGGACAAATGGAAAGCTGAATTTTTAATTTTATAAAATTTTAATTAATTTATAATACATTAAACTGTTAGAAAGATTTAAGTATACCTGTAATAACTTGGAATGTAAATTTACTATTTCACAGTAAATTTTTATGAAATATAAATACGAATCAAATATTTCTAATAAAAATTTAGTGTTATAATTGAGATGTGGAAAATTTAAACTGGTTATGAAGACTTAATACTAAAAGAGATCACATAAAATAGCTCATTAATAATTTTTCCCTGATCATATTTCAAAGTTATATTTGAGATTCACTGGTTTAAATATATTATTGAAATTAATTTCCCTTGTTTTTTTCTACTTTATTTTTCTCTTTTATGAGCCTAATATTATGAACATATTTTTTTTTTAATGTAGCTACTGAAAAACTTTAAAGTATATATGTGGCACACATTCTATTTCTACTGAATAGTACTGTCCTAAAGCTTGTATCTAAATGCAGAAGATATATCATTATGATACATTAATTTGAATATTTCAAACATCTCCTGACCTTTTCACTTGATTGTCTTCTTTTCTTTAGTTGAATAAAATCTGTTTCCACCCTTTCTGCCAGCTCTAGTTTCCTCTTGTTTCTTTTAAATGCAGCTAAACTGAATCCTATAAAATAAAATAAAATAAAAAACATTAAATATAACATTTAAGAAATACTAGGGCAATGAGTCAAATAAGATATCTGAAGAGCCTTCCCAGAAGAAAATCCTTAAGAATGTTAAATTAAGGGTTTAAAAAGTATTTTCAAGGTATACAGAGATAGTAGGAAAATAAGAGAAATAAACTAAGTTTTTAAAATTAAGAAAAAGGTCAAACCCAGAGAAACAAAGGAGTCCTGAAGGTAGACACTACCCTCTCAGCATCTGTTTATGCATGCCTCCTCGAACTGTGGTTTTAAAGGTCTCTGCGCATAGGAGGTAAGAGACGAAACTTGGGCACAATGCAGTATAAGAAAACACACTGGAGATTATCCACGAAGAAAGGAGAGAGTCTCAAAGGTTGATATGCCCAGTGAATAGAAGAATGAGAAAAAAAGTCACCAGGCACCAAAACATAAGAAAAAGTAAATAAAACATTTTTTAAACCAGAAAACCAGAAAACTTGCAAGTCTCAGCTTTGGTTCTAGATGTAAAGAGTCATGAAATTTCTCCCTAGAAATTTCATGACTAATGAGAGCATTTAGATAGGCTTCGAGTAGAATTCTTATTACCTGTGAGACCCCAGGGTAAAAAAGTGATCTCAGTGTAACAGTGCTTCAAAGGGCCTCCAAACTCAAATGCAAATACTCCCTAGAAAAACAAACTGGCCTTAACTTATCCAGACCTCAAAGAACCCCTACGTTTCAATCAACATGTGCTCATAGTTTTAAAAGAAAAATTCACAAAACAAGTAAGAGATAAACTACCAAGAATAAAAGCCAGCCAAATATCAGAAAGCGTAACCTGAACCGCAAAAATCTCAGATACTGGAATAATCAGATTAAGAATATAACATATGTTTATCCTCAGAGAAATAAAAGAAATATATCAAAAATAGGATTAAGCAGCAAGATGATAAACTGACCAGGCTGAATTGAAGAATAAATAGAGCTTCAATCCATCAATAAATAAAATAATCAAAATTTTAAAACTTGATATACAAATTTTAACAGCCAATTAGATCCAGCTGATAAGAGAAATTACAAACTGGAACATAACACTGACAAAGTTACTGAGTAAAGTTTTCTGATAATGGCAGACTAAGTTATTCAGAATAATTATCCATGGAATATTCCTAAAAATGTTGGGTAAAATATTTAAAATACCACCTTAAAAGCACTCAAAACTTTACAAGTACTAACCTAAATTCTTGGGTAAACTGTGGATTATTGCACTGTGAACATTTGCCAACACTAGCACACTTGCATTTGACTAAATGGCATCAAGGAGAGGGATACCAAGCCCAGAGCCCATTAAGAGTAGAGAGCTTTATAGGAGACACCCCCCACAATAAACTGGGAATTTAAAGGGCTAATTCTCTTAGAGTAAAGCTAATCCATAACTAAGTCCATTACTCCCTCTATCTCAAAAGCAAATGCATGCAGTCAATATTGTCCCAGATTATAGCAGAGCATGAGACTGAGAGAAGATTGGGGGAGAAAACAGGGAGAAGGCAGAGAAAAAGAAATAACAAAGTATTCAAAAGAGGTGGAGAAAGAAAACTATCTCTGAGAAACTTTTGGTCTCATGGGGCCCTTGCATAGATTTGCAAATATACACACTGTACAATCCCAGAAGAAAAAGAAAGAGAGAAGGAGAAGATGGTTAACTTGAGGAAATAATAACTGAAAACTTGCCAACTTTGATGAAAGATATGAACACCCAAGACATAAAAACCCAAGAAGCTAAAGGAACTCCAAGTAGGAAAACTGGGAGATCCATACCAAGGCACATTACAATCAAACTGTCAAAGACCAAAGACAAAGAGAGCATCTTGAAAAGCAGATTATCACCTACTAGGGATCCCCAATAAAATTATAAGCAGATTTCTCATCAGAAACTTTGGAAGCCAGAAACAGTGGGTTGATATATTCAAAGTGCTAAAACAACAAAAGCATCAACCAAAAATCCTGGCTGTGGCCAAACGGTCCTTCAAAAATGAGGGGCAAATTAAAATACTCTCAGATAAACAAAAACTGAGATAGTTCTTTTTTACTGGACCTACCCTGCAAGAAATGCTAAAGGAAATACTTCCAGTTAAAATGAAAGAATCTTAGACAGAACTCAAAGCTGTAAATAAACAATGATCTCTGATAAAGACAAATACACGGACAACTGTGAAAGATAGTCTTACTGTAATTTTGGTTTCTAAGTATGCTTTTTGTTTTCCACGATTTTTTTTTTTTTTTTTTTTTTGAGACAGAGTCTCCCTCTATCGCCCAAGCTAGTGTGCAGTGGCACAATCTGGGCTCACTACAACCTCTGCCTCCCAGGTTCAAGCGATTCTCTTGCCTCGGCCTCCCAAGTAGCTGGGATTACAGGCACGCACCACAACGGCTGGCTAACTTTTTGTATTTTTAGTAGAGACAGGGTTTCACCATGTTGGCCAGACTGGTCTCAAACTCCTGAGCTCAGGTGATTTGCCCACCTCAGCCTCCCAAAGTGTTATAATTACAGGTGTAAGCCACCATGCCTAGCTTATTTTCTACATGATTTTAGAAACTAAAGCATTAAAACACTATCAGTCTGTTTTGGGACAAACAATGGGAAAAGATGCAATTTTGTAAAAGAGGGTTGAGACAGAGCTGTATGAGAACAGAATTTTTATTTGTTATTGAAGTTAAGCTGGTCTAAATTCAAATTAGAATGTTATAATTTTAGAATGTTAAATGTAATCCCCATCATAACCACAAAAAAAAAGCAAGACAATATACACAAAAGAAAATGAAAAAAGAACAACACAATAAACCAAGTAGATCTAAAAGATATAAACAGAACACTCTATTCAACGATAGAATTCACATTCTTCTCAAGTTCACTTGAGATATTTTTCCAAAATGTCCCATTTGTATGTGAGCACAAATCAAATCTCAATAGATGTAAAAGATAGGTATTGTACAATGTATCTTCTCCAACTGTAACAGGATGGAGTTAGAAATCAATGGTAGAAGAAAACTGAAAAATGCACAAATTGTGAAAACTAAAATACAGAAAGAAATCAAAAAGGAAATTAGAAAATGCTTAGATGTGAATAAAAATTAATACACCAAAACTTACAAAGTGCATCAAAAGCCTTATGAAGGAAAAAATTTTACAGCTATAAAAACATTTAAAAAGAAAAAAAGATTTCAAACAACAACCTAGCTTTAAAACTTAAGGAACTAATAAAAGAAGAATTAAACCCAAAGCTAGCAGAACAAAGGAAATAAAGATCAGAGTGGAGATAAATAAAATAGATAATACCAAAAAAAAAAAAAGAAAAACAAATAAAACCAAAAGTTCATGGAAAACATTAACAAAATTTAAGATCTTTAGCTAGATTAAGAAAAAAAAGACAAATTACTATAATCAGAAATCAAAATGGGGACATTACTACTGATTCTTCAAAAACAAAAAGTATTATAGGCCAGGTACAGTGGCTCATGCCTGTAATCCCAGCAGTTTGGGAAACCAGTGTGGGTAAATCCCTTGAATACAGGAGTTTGAGACCAGCCCAGGCAACACGGTGAAACCCTGTCTCTACAAAAATACAAAAAATTAGCCAGGCATGGTGGCATGCACCTGTAGTTGCAGCTACTCTAGCGGCTGAGATGGGAGGATCATCTTAGTCTAAGAGGTCAAGGGTGCAGTGAGCCATGTTTGTGCCACTGCATTCCAGCCTGGGCAACAGAGCAAGACCTTGTCTCAAAAAAAAAAAATTATATCTCTATATACATATATGTGTGTGTGTGTGTGTGTGTTGTGTATGTGTATATGTGTGTGTCTATGTATGTGTATATATATGTGTGTATATATATACACGTGCATATATATATATATGCATATATGCACACACATATAAATAAGAGAGTTCTATGAAAAACTGGGTACCCAAATATTGGATGACCTAAATGAAATTAACAAAGTCCAAAAACACAAAACCTACCAAGACTGCATCATGAAGAAACAGAAAATCTGAATTAACCCATATCTAGTAAGGAGACTAAATCAATAATATAAACTCTCCTGGCAAAAAAAAAAAATTCCCAGACTTCAGGGCTTCACTGCAGCATTCTACCAAACATTTAAACAACAAACACCAAAAAAATTAACAAAGAAGAAACATTTCCAACGTCATTATATGAGGTCAGCATTATCCTAATACCCAAACCATACAAAGACACCATAAGAAAGCTACCAACCAATACTTCTTACGAACGTTGATGCAAAATTCCTCAACAAAATACTGCCAAACCAAATGCAGCAGCATATTAAAAGGATAATACACTATGACAAAGTGCAATTTATTCCTAAGAAGCAAAGGTCATTCAACATATGAAAATCAATGTTATACACCAACATTAACAGGATGAAGGGAAAAAGCCTTTTGATCTTTTTTTTTTTTTTTTTTTTTTTTACTATGTTGCTCAGGCTGGTCTTGAACTTCTGGCCTCAAGTGATCCTCCCACCTCCGTCTCCCAAAGTGCTGGGATTATAGGTATGAGCCACCCCACCCAGCATGATCATAAATGGATGCACAAATAATCACGTTACAAAATTCAAAATTATTTCATAATAAACACACCAAACAAACTAGAAATAGAAAGAAACGACCTCAACACAAAAAGGCAAAATGTGAAAAGCCCACAGCTAACATCATATCTATGGTGAAAGACTGAAAGCTTTTCCCCTAAAATCAGAAACATGACAAGGATATGTACTTTCACCACTTCTAGTACTAGAAGTCCAAATCTAATATTAGAAGTACTAGAACTAGAAGTCCTAGAAGTACTGGAAGTCCCAGCCAAGGCAATTAGGCAAGGAAAAGAGGTAAAAGCCATTCAAATTGGAAAGGAAGAAATAAAATTATGACTTGATCTTATACTTGGAACATCCTAAAGATCTCTAACCCCACCCCCCAACACAAAC